CCCTCAGATTTGACAAACTCACTATTTTTGAGTTAAGTCGAGTTATAAAGTCCGAGTTAGGAGATATAAACTTGCATTTGCGAGAAAAAAAGTCAGAATTGTGAGATAAAATAAAATATTATATAATAATATAATTTAAATAATAATATTTCTAATAGTAAGGTTTAAATAATATTTCATGCTGTAACTGTAGGGCTAATACAATACGATTATTGATTAATACATTTATTTATGTATCATTCTTTTATGTTTTATTTATTATTTATACATATTTTAACCAGTGTTATTATGAATATCATTCTCAAAAACTCCAAAGGCAGATACCATGCTGAAGATGGGATTCCAGCAACAGGTCCCTGAAGAGCATCAGACACTGTTGACTTCAGCCACCATTCCCACAGGAACAGAACAGCTAGCGGCCCGTCTCACCCGTGACCCTGTGAGCATTACCATCGGGCAGAAGAACCAACCCTGCGCCAACGTCCGTCAGATAGTCCTCTGGGTGGAGGAGCCGTCAAAGAAAAAGAAGCTCTTTGAGATTTTAAATGTAAGTATACTGTAGAAACCACATTCACATTTACTTGCACGTGTTACTGTATTTTGGTGTTATGTACGATTCATCAGTGACAACAGGAAGTTGATTTAAAAGCATTCAGATTTAACTACAAAATCATCTGAATTGAAAGCTTCTGTCGACTAGCTTGTTGACAGAAATGCAGTTAGAGTGGAAGTCTATAGGGCAATCTTAGCCCTCCTCTCCAGAGGAAATGGGTGGGACCTCAAATGGCTTTGCTCCAGGAAAACTAGCAACAGCTCTTACCAGAGACCGAGAGCAGGAAATGGAGCATTTATAAATCACAGGCCGTGGAAATAAAATGACTGCCCCCAAGAAATTGTCAATTAAAACAAATAAATATTGTATATTTATATTTTAATGTATAATAATACTATAATATATATTTGACATCTTAGAACAATTGTCCACCAACAATATTAAATAACTAATAAATATGAGAGTCTGTATTTAATATTATATTGAATATTTTAGAACAATTGTCCATCAGAAATATGAAATAACATAAATGGTAAATATGTATTCATGAATATGAAATTGAATATGAAAAAGTAAATAAATAAACACAATTCTTTATTAATAATATATTTAATAATGTAGAATAATTGTCCATTAATATGAAAGAACAATTGATAAATAAGTTCATATTTAGAAATATGAATATAAAACTTTACATTTCATTTTAAGTGTCCATAAAAAATATATTAACAGTTGATAAATATGAATTCATAAATATTGAAGAAATAATCAAACAAAAACAAACTGTTTATAAATATTATATTATATTACATTATATTTTAGAATAATTGTTCATCAGAAATTCATACATGTGAAATTAAATGAATAAATAAATACATAAATATATTATGTATTAATATTATAATGAATGTTTTATAATTATTGTCCATCAAAAACAGGAACAAATATTATTGCTCAAATTATTTTTAAAATCATTTTTATTTAATATTTTTACATATTTAAATATCAAATATCAGAATTGTAAGTACTGGAATGAAACTGCTTTTTTTTTTTTTTTTACACTGTGAATTTAATATGAATGGCGCATATTTGTGGGTTTGTTTTCATTAGAATATGATCTACATTGTGATCTTGTGTGTGTGTGTGTGCTCACAGGACAGAAAGCTTTACCAGCCACCAGTAGTTGTGTTCGTGGACTGCAAACTTGGGGCTGATTTGCTGTGTGAAGCTGTGCAAAAGGTCATGGGATTGAACGCAGTCGCGATCCACTCGGACAAGCTGCAGTGGGAACGCAACAAAATTGTAAAGGTAATGAAAAAATATCTTAAAAATATTATATTATATTTAATATATTTGTTGGTATTTTTTATATTTAATATTTTTTTAATTATTGTGCATTAAAATGTTAAAAAAAACTATGAATAAATATGAATTTATTCATATTAAATAAATCAATAATTCTGGATGAAATATTGTTTTTAGGGTCTTCTCGAGGGCCAGTTTGAAGTGGTGGTCAGCACTGGGATTCTCGGTAGAGGACTGGACCTGGTCAATGTGAAGCTGGTAGTGAACTTTGACATGCCAGCTAACATGGATGAGTATGTTCATCAGGTATGACGTGCTTCATGAATACACTGGTGCTTCTCATTTCTTTAAGGAATCATTCAGATTGGTTGAGCGGGTCGGCTGGGCCACAGAGGCACCGCCATCACGTTCATGGATAACAACAACAAGTGGCTGTTTCTGGACATTGTGAACCGAGTGAAACCCACGGGCTCCATCCTGCCGCCACAGCTCCTCGACTCGCCACATCTGCACGAACAGCAGAGGAGAGCCAGACAGAGGAGCAGCCGTGCAGAAGACATCCTCGTATCCAAGAGCAACCTCATCGACATCATCAGGAAGCATGACAGACCATCTGCCAACAAATAACAAGCACATCCATTTATTAGTAAATGTTTTGTTGCTGCTTTTATAATTTGTATTTTCAATAAATGCTACAAGTGAATGAAGAAAATGTCTCTTCTGATAATTACACAGTACACACACCATAATAACGTCAACCCACATGGTAGAAATATCAGTAATGTTGATGGGAAAGTATATAACAACACTAGGATTAAAAACCTGTTAATTGCTTACTGTGCCTTATACATTTATGATATTTTATAGGACAATACATGTAATTTTACTGTAAAGATTACCATTAAAATTAGCAGAGAAAGTCAAATTTGACTATATATACGTGTGTGTGTGTGTGTGAATCACCTTGAAAGTTAGGTTTTTTGTTTCAGCATTTTCTACAGTAAAGTTTAACTGCAAATTGAATATAAATACAGTTTTTAATTAAATTTTTTTTTAAATGATTGATGTAATTAAAAGAAAACGAAGCTGCACATCAATAAAGGTTTATTATTATTAATTAAATCAGCATAGAGGCAGTAAAATGTTGTATAGTTTAATATATATAATATATGCTGTGTTTATACACACACACACACACACACACACACACAATATACATACACAAAATTATATATTTATGTCCATATATAAAATATTTAACTAACATAATAAATATAATGAATAAAATATACAAATAAAAATATATTTTAACGATATACAGTGGGTACGGAAAGTATTCAGACCCCCTTAAATTTTTCACTCTTTGTTATATTGCAGCCATTTGCTAAAATCATTTAAGTAAATTATCAGAATTGTAAGTACTGGAATTAAACTGCTTTTTTTTTTTTTTTTACACTGTGAATTTAATATGAATGGCGCATATTTGTGGGTTTGTTTTCATTAGAATATGATCTACATTGTGATCTTGTGTGTGTGTGTGTGCTCACAGGACAGAAAGCTTTACCAGCCACCAGTAGTTGTGTTCGTGGACTGCAAACTTGGGGCTGATTTGCTGTGTGAAGCTGTGCAAAAGGTCATGGGATTGAACGCAGTCGCGATCCACTCGGACAAGCTGCAGTGGGAACGCAACAAAATTGTAAAGGTAATGAAAAAATATCTTAAAAATATTATATTATATTTAATATATTTGTTGGTATTTTTTATATTTAATATTTTTTTAATTATTGTGCATTAAAATGTTAAAAAAACTATGAATAAATATGAATTTATTCATATTAAATAAATCAATAATTCTGGATGAAATATTGTTTTTAGGGTCTTCTCGAGGGCCAGTTTGAAGTGGTGGTCAGCACTGGGATTCTCGGTAGAGGACTGGACCTGGTCAATGTGAAGCTGGTAGTGAACTTTGACATGCCAGCTAACATGGATGAGTATGTTCATCAGGTATGACGTGCTTCATGAATACACTGGTGCTTCTCATTTCTTTAAGGAATCATTCAGATTGGTTGAGCGGGTCGGCTGGGCCACAGAGGCACCGCCATCACGTTCATGGATAACAACAACAAGTGGCTGTTTCTGGACATTGTGAACCGAGTGAAACCCACGGGCTCCATCCTGCCGCCACAGCTCCTCGACTCGCCACATCTGCACGAACAGCAGAGGAGAGCCAGACAGAGGAGCAGCCGTGCAGAAGACATCCTCGTATCCAAGAGCAACCTCATCGACATCATCAGGAAGCATGACAGACCATCTGCCAACAAATAACAAGCACATCCATTTATTAGTAAATGTTTTGTTGCTGCTTTTATAATTTGTATTTTCAATAAATGCTACAAGTGAATGAAGAAAATGTCTCTTCTGATAATTACACAGTACACACACCATAATAACGTCAACCCACATGGTAGAAATATCAGTAATGTTGATGGGAAAGTATATAACAACACTAGGATTAAAAACCTGTTAATTGCTTACTGTGCCTTATACATTTATGATATTTTATAGGACAATACATGTAATTTTACTGTAAAGATTACCATTAAAATTAGCAGAGAAAGTCAAATTTGACTATATATACGTGTGTGTGTGTGTGTGAATCACCTTGAAAGTTAGGTTTTTTGTTTCAGCATTTTCTACAGTAAAGTTTAACTGCAAATTGAATATAAATACAGTTTTTAATTAAATTTTTTTTTAAAGTAATGATGTAATTAAAAGAAAACGAAGCTGCACATCAATAAAGGTTTATTATTATTAATTAAATCAGCATAGAGGCAGTAAAATGTTGTACAGTTTAATATATATAATATATGCTGTGTTTATACACACACACACACACGACATGTAGTTACAAAGTTACTTATAGTTAGTAGAATGTCTAAAGTGGACTATCGAAATAAAGTGTAACCCAACAAACATAATATTTGGTTTATACAACCCTGTTACTGCATGATTTCCCCTTTTGTTAAAAAAATAAGAATGAAATGGTGAGACCCAGTTAATGACATCATTTGGACCTGTTTTCAAGCTAAGCTGTAAGACAAGCATCCAAAATAATGATCATTTTTTTCTTAATTTTTATGCATATTGTAATTTTGACAGCATTCATTAGTCTTAATTGTTTAACCCTTTTATGTAATTTATACTGAATGCGGCCAAGTACAGGGATATCCTGGACTAAAACCTTCTCCAGAGTGCTCAGGACCTCAGACTGGGCCGAAGGTTTACCTTCCAACAAGACAATGACCCTAAGCACACAGCTAAAATAATGAAGGAGTGGCTTCACAACAACTCTGTGACTGTTCTTGAATGGCCCAGCCAGAGTCCTGACTTAAACCCAATTGAGCATCTCTGGAGAGACCTAAAAATGGCTGTCCACCAACGTTTACCGTCCAACCTGACAGAACTGGAGAGGATTTGCAAGGAGGAATGGCAGAGGATCCCCAAATCCAGGTGTGAAAAACTTGTTGCATCTTTCCCAAAAGGGTCATGGCTGTATTAGATCAAAAGGGTGCTTCTACTAAATATTGAGCAAAGGGTCTGAATACTTAGGACCGTGTGATATTTCAGTTTTTCTTTTTTAATAAATCTGCAAAAATGTCAACAATTGTGTGTTTTTCTGTCAATATGGGGTGCTGTGTGTACATTAATGAGGAAAAAAAATTAACTTAAATGATTTTAGCAAATGGCTGCAATATAACAAAGAGTGAAAAATTTAAGGGGGTCTGAATACTTTCCGTACCCTATATATATATATATATATATACGCACACACACAGACACACTCTTTTTTCGGATGAAACCACTCGTTATTGTTTGGCTTGGAGAGATTCACTCGTGTAACTCTATTAGACACCGCCATCTGTTGGTAGATGAGCGTTACTATGCGCCTTTGCGTCAGCCTGAGCGGACCAATCACAGCACGCCTGCAGGTTTTGAATTAGAGCGGCAGTATGGCGGTGAGCAGACAGCGAGTTGTTGTTTTTATTGACGCTTTGAGGCGGCGTTCAGTCGGTTACTTTCTTACCGTCGGAACGGTAGTAAACTAGAAGGACTGCGTTTCTAGAAAACAGGACATCAACACTTCCAGGTCAGTTTTAGTTATGGGTTCACGTAAACATGTAACGTTATTTTTAAGTCATTTGACAGGTTATTCACCTCAGTGTACTCGTTATTATACAACAATTACATTTGTGGACTGAAGTACATTTGCGACAATTTACAATAGTCGACAATCTTATAGTCAAAAGGCTTTTTTTTTGGACCCATACAATGATGGATGGATCAAAAGAAGTAGAGACCACATCGTCTTTTAATAAAACCAAAGAAGTAAACAGGACCTATGTGATCTCAGCACTCACAAAATGTGGAGAAAACCCATTTAAAACACCATCCTCTGGTGTCAGACTCACTCTTCACAGAAAACCCAGCAGCAGAACCACTGCAAACCACCATGAAGAAACCACACAGGAGAACCAAAGAGGAGAGAAACGCCTGACCCTTAAGCGCCGCACCAGAACCAAAGTCCTGACCGAACCCAATCCAGCAAGAGAGACCCACGAAACCATCAAAACACCTGGGAAAACCTCATGGAGTGCTCAGAAAACAAGCTCCGAGAAGGTCAGCGCCACCCACGATGAGGGTAAAACCGCTTCAACACCTACAAGAAGAACCCAGTTTGAGAAATTAAGCGTCAAGAGAGACGTCTTTGAGAGGCTGGCTGGTAAAGGTGCATCTAGACCCACAGCTACCAAACACACAGCTGCAGCAGCAAGACAGAAGCCACCGCAGATGAGCACTGACACCATGAGACCCACATGTGGAGCAAGCGGTGAGAGGGTTCAGATTGGTGGTTTAAATAGGCACATGACACCCGCCTCACGTTCAGCACAGGCGAGGAGACCCACAGCCTTATTTTTATATATATACTATTTTATTAATATCATTATATTTTAATATTATTGTGCAAAGTGCCACTTACTTGTACTAAAAGTTTCGCTATTTATTTTTAATTTTTTTGTGTGTGTCCACAGGGAGAAGAATGAGAAAACCCGTCAGGTGATCTTCATGAACAACCAAGAAACTGTTGTGCAACATCCAGATACTAAACAAAACTACACATTTACCTTTGACTTCTCTTTTTGCTCTATCAATGAATCGGATGCAAGTTTTGCCAGTCAGCAGATGGTTTATGAAAAACTGGCTCGGCCCTTGCTTGAAAGAGCATTCGAGGGATTTAACACGTGTCTTTTTGCATACGGCCAAACGGGTTCTGGAAAGTCCTACACGTAAGTGACGATTCTCTTTGAAACCGCATTTTTTATAAATGTACTAATAATAATAACTATTCAGAATCAGATTGATATTTTTAAAGTGCCATTTTGGATGTTTTCTAGTATGATGGGTTTTGGTGAAGAGGCTGGCGTTATTCCCAGATTCTGCAAGGAACTTTTCTCGAGATTGTCCAGAACTGAAACCAAAGAGGTTACTACCCCATATGATGATTATTCATTTACAATTTATGATTGAATTATAAATATAGCTTGTTTGACCGTTCTAAATGCAGGTTTATTTATATTCAAGATCTCCTGCCATCTGGAGATGAGCTATTTTGAGGTGTACAATGAGAAAATCCACGATTTGCTGGTGGCAAGGGACGAACAAAACCAGAAGAAAATGCCTGTATGTGCAACAACTCAATAAAACAAATTAAATGTTACAAATGTCTTGTAGTTTATCTGTCTTCCTTATTGATCTGTTCAGCAATTCAGTCCTTTTCTTGGCTTTTCCAGCTGCGTGTGAGAGAACATCCTGTCTACGGGCCTTATGTTGCAGACCTGTCCACGTAAGCAAACATTTCATTTAAATGCCAGGATTACTATGGCCATGGAATTCTCTATTTTTTTTTGTCTTGTTTTGTTTTTCTTTAGTTTTGTTGTGTTGTTGTTTTTTGTTATTTTATGTTTTTTTTTTTGTTATATTGTTTTTTTTATTATTTTTTGGTTTATTTTGTTGTCTTGTGTTTTTTTTGTTATGTTTTTTTGTTATTTTATGTTGTTTTTTATTTTGTTTTGTTGTTTTTGTATTTTATTTGATGATGTTTTTGGGTCATTTTGTTGTCTTGTGGTTTTTTATGTTATTGTTTTTTGTTTTGTTTTCTTATTTTATGTTTTTTTATTTTTGTTTTGTTGTTTTTGTTTTATTTTATTTTGTTGTCTTGTTCAGCACAGGTGAGGAGACCCACAGCCTTAATGAGCTCCACAGCTCATGGAGGAACAGTTGTTTCTAGAGCTGCTCCTGCTGAAGGACATGCTCCTCTGGAAGCTGTGAGCAGAACAAGTGCTCTACGACCCCAAGAGCTGAAGATGGAGAACAGTGCTGTCACTGTCGCAGTTCGAGTTAGACCCTTTAGTTCAAGGTAAGAAATGTTTTTCTACTTTTATTTTGGTGGCATGTTGTTTTGAGGCAAATTGTAGTGTAAATATTTGTTCATTTAAAAAGTCATACAATGACTGTCTTTCTAAGTGTATAAAACCTAATTAAAATGAATTAAAATCTCAAAAGAAATATATATATATATATTTGATTTACAAGTATTTCAATTACTTATTTTGTTTTGTTGTTTTTGTATTTTATTTGATGATGTTTTTGGGTCATTTTGTTGTCTTGTGGTTTTTTATGTTATTGTTTTTTGTTTTGTTTTCTTATTTTATGTTTTTTTATTTTTGTTTTGTTGTTTTTGTTTTATTTTATTTTGTTGTCTTGAAGTTTTTTTATGTTATTTTGTTGTGTTGTTTTTTTTATTTGTTTTGTTTATTTTGTTGTCTTGTGGTTTTTTTATGTTATTGTTTTTTGTTTTGTTTTCTTGTTATGTTTTTTATTTTTGTTTTGTTGTTTTTGTTTTATTTTATTTTGTTGTTTTTTTTGGTTTATTTTGTTGTCTTGTGGTTTTGTTATTTTGTTGTGTTTTATTTTATGTTGTTTCTTTGGTTGTCTTTTGGTTTTATTTTATTTTGTTATTTCATAATGTTATTTTATTTAGTTTTTTTGTTTTAGTTGTGTTTCGTTTTTTGGTTTTGATTTCTTTTCCTTTGTTGTGTTGTGTTTTTTAAACGTAATTTTATTTAATTGTATTTTTTGTTTTGTGCTAATCTCTATGCTGTCTTTCAGGAACGTAGTCACATCTTATGCTGATATTCAGGTAACTTAAGGTGTCAGTTCACATTTTATAATTAATTACATATTATTTTTGTTCTTACCATTTAATACATTTTCCCTCCCCCAACTTCACAGACTTGGCTTGAACTCGGTAACAAACAGAGAGCCACAGCTGCCACCGGCATGAACGATAAAAGCTCCAGATCACACTCTGTTTTCACTCTGGTCATGACGCAAACTAAAGTAAGCCCCTCAGGTTTATTTGCAGTGAGAGGCTACTTTTACTTCAGCCAACATATGAATAATTTAATGATGCGTTTGTGATAGTTCTAGTTATATGATGGTGTTTTCATGTGCACAGACGGAGTTTGTGGAGGAAGAGGAGCACGATCACTGCATCACCAGCCGGATAAATCTGGTGGATTTGGCAGGAAGTGAGCGCTGTACTTCAGCCCAGACCAGTGGAGACCGGCTCAGGGTAATCCAGCATGCAGTAGCTCTGTTTATCCTGTGTCATGATTACCCACAGTGCATTCTGCTGCTTACTGTTCTGTACGTTAAATAGCGGTGAATTGGATTGCAATATTTTACCAAATAATGCAATATATCATGAAATCTTAAATCTGAGATATTTGTAATGTGAATTTATTTATTTTTCCCAGGAGGGAGCGAGTATCAACAAGTCTCTGCTCACGCTGGGAAAGGTGATCTCGTCACTCTCAGAACAGGCTCAGAGCAGAAAGAAAGTCTTCACCCCGTACAGAGAGTCAGTGCTCACATGGTGAGAAGCTTTTGCTTATGAATTTGTATTTTGTATTTCATTGCAGTTTTGTATGTTTGAATTAAAACAACAACAACAACAACACAGCTTCAGCAATGTAATACATTTCCAAGGCCCTGATGTCAAGGAATTTCAGTGGGATTTTATTTAATTTAATTCATCCCCCGCCCATTCATACCAAGAAAATACACAGAAATTATTTTTTTCTTTGTCTCTAGTTGTTCTAAAATATTTCTTCAAAAGAAGGAAATACTCTTTGTTCGAGTAAACTATAAAATGATTGGTTAATATTATTGTCATTATTGATAATATTATTATTATTATATTTTATTTTACTATTATTTTATTTACATTATTTACATTATTTACATTTACATATACAATTTTTTGTATATTTTTAAGAATGTGTGTGACATAACTCATATTTTGTGAATCTCTGTGTCCAGAGCTGAAAGCAGAGGTGGAGAAGCTCCGTGCGGCTCAGATGAGCTCTCAAGGCATCGAACCCGAGAAAATGAGACCGTTTCAGCAAGAGATCGCCTCTCTTAAGACTAAACTCTCTCAACAGGAGCATGAAATGGCCGAGGCTCACAGGTGTGTGGATATAAACTACAAAACTCAGGGTTATGACTCGCATTATACATTGAAAATAAAAGAAAGCGCTGTTCACAACCCGTTTGATTTTCAAATCAAACAGTATATTTGAGGAATATCTAGTATGGAGAGACTTGATTATGTCTTTCGGGAATTCATTGTAATGTTGAAAGCAGGCGTTATCAGAATAAAGCAGAAATATATATATATATATATATGAGTAAATGGGGTAAGTTTTGATTTGATTGACAACCTGTGGTCACTTTTAGTCACTCTTAATTATATTGTTCAGTATTGACAGTAATCGGTATAATCACTTTTTGTGTACTTGCTTTGTAATTCGGTTGTTAAGTGGTGACGTAGAAGCGCTGTTTCCGGGTCCAAGCCTCAACTCGCTTCACTTGAGAAAACTACCTCAGCAGCCATTTATGAGCACTATTTATTCATATTAAACATTTAAGCTAAAAGGAATTTCAGTGGGATTTTATTTAATTTAATTCATCCCCCGCCCATTCATACCAAGAAAATACACAGAAATTATTTTTTTCTTTGTCTCTAGTTGTTCTAAAATATTTCTTCAAAAGAAGGAAATACTCTTTGTTCGAGTAAACTATAAAATGATTGGTTAATATTATTGTCATTATTGATAATATTGTATTGATAAAAATGTTAGATAATTTTCTAATATATTAATAATAATAATAATAAAATACAATTATATTTATATTTAATTTCTGTAGTTACATTACATAAATTACATTTATGTAATAACAACAACAACAACAGTAATGATGTTTATAAAGTAATTGCATAAATATTTTCTTGATTTTAGATATGTCTATACATTTTATTATATGTTTGTTTGCTTGACCAAAGTGGAAAATAATTTTAGAAGTGCTGCAAAAAAAAAAAAACTTAACTTAAATTTATGTAGTTACATTATTAAATAAATGTAACTTATATAATAATAATAATAATGTCACACCAGTGTGGCCTTTGTTTACTCAGCAAAAAGGGGAAAATTGTTTCAGAAGCGCAGCATTACATAAAAAAATGAAATGTTAATTTCCCAAAATAGTAATTTAAATAAAAAAGGAATAAATAAACATTTAATGAAAGATTGGGCACTAACAAAAAGGGTACTAATAAATTGTGCACAATAATACCAGCAACATTTATTAAATTTTCATGAAATGTAAAATATGGCACAACATGCAAGATATTTTGCTGACAAAAGCAGCAGAAGTGCTCCAGCTCCCTCTTGTGTTCAGGTTACTGAAGGAAAGCCTCGGTGGAAACTCCAAGACGGCTATGATCGCCACCCTGAGCCCTGCAGCCAGTAACATGGATGAGAGCCTGAGCACGTTACGCTACGCCCAGCAAGCTCGAATGATCATTAACATAGCCAAAGTCAACGAGGACACCAACGCCAAACTGATCCGAGGTCCGTAACGGTTACAGCTCTTTATTCTGTCTGTCCGTCAGCTGTCATACTCGTCAAGAAGGGTGTGTTATAAAAACACTGCGCCACACCTCTGCCCTAGAGGGCAGGATATTTACTAATGGGACATCCTTAGTGATTTCTGTTCTGAACCGCCTCTGAGAGGAATTAAAATGTCTGTTTTTTTTTTGTTTTTTTTACTTATGTTAAGTGGAGTTATTTTTTGTATATATACAATAATAATAATAATTATTATTATATTTTATTTTACTATTATTTTATTTACATTATTTACATTATTTACATTTACATATACAATTTTTTGTATATTTTTAAGAATGTGTGTGACATAACTCATATTTTGTGAATCTCTGTGTCCAGAGCTGAAAGCAGAGGTGGAGAAGCTCCGTGCGGCTCAGATGAGCTCTCAGGGCATCGAGCCAGAGAAAATGAGACTGTTTCAGCAAGAGATCACCTCTCTTAAGACTAAACTCTCTCAACAGGAGCTTGAAATGGCCGAAGCTCACAGGTGTGTGTGGATAGAAACTACAAAACTCAGGGTTATGACTCGCATTATACAATGAAAATAAAATGAAGTGCTGTGCACAACCCATTTGTTTTTCGATTCAAACAGTATATTTAGGGAGGAATATCTAGTACGGAGTGACTTGATAATGTCTTTTGCGAATTAATTGTAATGTGGAAAGCGGGCATTATCAGAATAAAGCAAAACATTTTATTTTTTTTAATGAGTAAATAGGGTCAGTTTTGATTTGATTGACAACATGTGGTCACTTTTAATGACTTTTAGTTATATTGTTCATCTTATTGACCGTAATCTATATAATACATTTTTGTGTACTTGCTTTGTAATGATGTAAAAGGCTGCTTTTGTTACTGCTTTTATTATTATTAAAATGTAAATATAATAATAACAATAACAGTAATACAACTTTATTAAAAAATAACTGTTTATATAAGAATTTAATTTATATAAATTGTGTTTATAGAATAAAGCAATGCACTTATTATTATTATACATAATAAATATAATTATATATTATATTGTATTATGTAATTATAATAATATTAACTAATATTATTATATTAATATATTATGAATAATAATAATAGAATGTGAGGTTAATCAGCATTAAAAAAAACCTGTAAATAATACTAGAAATAGTGTTTTACAATATTAGTGTTTTTACTGTATTTGTGATCAAATAAATGCAGACATTGTGGGCATAAGAGACTTCTCCTTCTCAAAAACATTCAAAAATCTTACCGACCCCCAGCTTTTGAAAGGTAGTGTAGTCAAAATAATCAAGCTTTTTAGATGAATCATGTTTCATTCTCTGTTGTTCAGTAAGTCAACACAAGAAATTATACATTATACCAATATAACAAGTAATAAACGCCAATATTTACATAAATCTTGACTAAAGTCATAGAAGCATTCAGGAATAACATGCCTCAAGCAAAACTCTAACCCCTCTGATGTTTCTCATTCCTTTAAAGTGCAAAAATTCCCGGCACGTAGCAAGGTTAGTTTGAGGTTAGGGAAAGTGGTTTTGGAGTAGAAAAAGCCGAAAACGCATTTCCTGGCCATCTCTTTGTAGTGTTCTGTGGTCGCGGCTCACAGCAGACGGGATATTCAAGGGTTGAAAAACATGTTTGGCTGTTTTCCCAGCCCATGACATCATATCGACGTCAGTGGAAAAGTAAAGCTGTTCAGACGGAAAAGTAATTTTATTATAATTCTAATTATTTTTATATTCTGTGATGAATACATGGAAGAATATTTCATTTTATAAGGTTGTTTTCTCGTGGTATCTGATAGAGCGTTTGGACACGGAAGCGGTGACACATGACGTCAGACTTAACAAGCGGATAGCAGGCTGAATTGTTACTGCTATTATTATTATTAAAATTAAAATATAATAACAATACAATTTTATTAAAAATAACTGTTTATTTAATAATTTCATTTATGTAAACTATGTGTTTATAGAATAATGCAATGCACTTATACATAAAATATTCGTAAATAATTAATATATTATTATGTAAATATATGATGAATAATAAGTATAAAATGTGGGGTAAGTCAGCATTAAAAAAACTTTTATTCTGCAAGGACGCATTAAATTGATCAAAAGTGACAGTAAATACATTAATAATGTTACAAAATATTTATATTTTAAATAAATGCTCTTCTATTGAACTTTCTGTTTTTTAAAACAATCCTGAAAAAGTCTATCACAGTTTCCACAAAAATATTAAGCAGCTAAACTGTTTTCAACACTGATAATAATGTTTCTTGAGCAGCAAAGCAGCATATTAGAATGATTTCTGTAGGATCATGTGACACTGAAGACTGGAGTAATGATGCTGAAAATACAGCTTTGATCACAGGAATAAATTACATTTTAACATGTATTAAAATACAAAAAAAGTTATTTTAAATTCGAAGATTTCACAGTATTGCTGTTTTTACTGTGTTTCTGATCAAGTAAATGCAGACTTGTGAGCATAAAAGACTTCTCCTTAAAAAAAAAAAAAAAAAATCTTACCAACCCCAAGCATTTAGACAGTAATGTAGATAAAAATAAACAAGCTTTTTAAAATAATCATGTTTCTTCTTGCTCTGATTTTCAGTAAGTGAACTAGGGATGCTCATTTTAACCGGTTAACCGTTAACCAACCGTAAGAATTTTGACCGATTTATACAATCAGTTAAACTGTTTAAAAAGTCATTTATTTCTTTCTTTCTTTCAGTAATTTATAAACATATTTTAAAAGGTTTGCTGCATGGTTAAAATACGCGTATAAAAATGAAACTGTGTTTTTAGAGAAAAAAACATAAGTCGTGTATATGTCGCATTTTATTATTTCATTCAGAAAAGGCCTAATGGCGACGCGAAATGTTTACAAACATTATAATAAACACTGTAAAGATAGCTAGGCTATTTTAGTTCCCCTCACTCCACAACAAATCCTTTCA